CAGTAGCAGAGAGGCCACAATGAATGGAGCAGAAAGCGAAATGAAGAGGACAAACTGACAATTAGTGACAGAAAAAGAGCTCAACAGAAATGAGGCAGAGAAGGTTGGATGGTAGGAACAGCCATTTTGGAGAAAACAAGACATCATAATAAGTAGTGCTGATTTAATATCCTCTTGTTTTGAAGTCCCATCAAGCTTTTGTTCTTCTGTCTCCATCGGTTTTAACATGTTGTATCTTATTGGATTTTATTATATGTGATAATATAAACAAAAATCTTTATAGACAAGGAGATTATACAGAAACCGTTGTTCATTTTCTGTTAGTTGATTCTAAATACCCTGTAATACTGTCATTCTCTTGAATGGTTTTACATTGTCTTGATATGTTTGATGCTACAGTATATGAAGTTATACCCAAAGATTTTAAGGGAAGAGACACTATGGTAACTACTATTATGTTGAGATTATCTTGTGGTGAAACACTATTTTGCTTAAATGGCTATGTTTTGACCTGCACTGTTTTGTTGTTATGCCCTCTTTTTTATCTCAATCTCCTTTTTATTATCTACTTTTTCATTTTTATCCTTTTAATTAAGGGAAAAATAAATTAAAAAATAGCAGGATATATTATAGTAACCCACTTTGATTTCCTATTAACTTGATTTGAAACTCTGTATTGCTCTCACCATCTTGTTTTGACTGATTTTCCTCTATTCTGTTATGCTAGATAGTACCAAGTTTGAAAGTCTAGGCAACAACTCTGAAGACAATAAGATCCATTGTGACGCCCATTCTGGTTGACTATTATCTTCTTTTGAAGTCCTCTAATGTCTCCAATGTTTTGGTTTTATTGGTCTTATTCTTTACTGTTTTGTTCAATTTTATTATAACTGATGATATAGGCAATTCTTTTTAAGATAACAAGAGGCATTATGGTAATGCCTTAATGTTGATCACCCTTACCCATTGTTGATCACCTTGTATTTTGTTTTTACATTATGTATTATGTCCATCCTTTTGATTTGACTGACTCTGTCCTGGTATGTCACATTTGGTTTTACTTTCTTCAAAAAAAAAAGTAGTAAGAACTGTGGGAGTAATAAAACCCAAAATGTGTAATTGTCATTGTACAAAAGGAAAAGAAAGTTCTCTAAAAGATATAACTGCATATATATTTAAGTGTATAAGATAGATTACCATATTACTGAGTTTTGTTGGATTATTGAACAAAACTGTTTGCAGTCTCACTGTTTGAAAGTCCCCTCTATCTGCTTTAATTTTGTAACTTCAACAACTATTTCTAAAATGACAATATGTAATTAACTAGTGATTTCCTACTGTTTATTTTTTCTGAAATTCTGTATAACTTGTACCCTTTTTCTTTTTTCTCCTTAAATAAAATTTAAAGAAAAAAAAAGATCTCCTTTGGTCACTGCATGAATTTGATCTAAATTTTGTTTTAACTTCCAGGAAGCAGAGTACAAAAATTACTAAGAATGATCATGTAAATCATGGAGTTAATATGTAAAATGGTAACTAACACTCTGAAAATGTTTTGCTAAGAAGTTGTGTGTAAATGGAATTTGGATGGCTTAATAAGACCCCCTAATAATTTAAACTAAATCTAAATTAGGAGTACCAGTGTTCTTTTTTTCCAGTCAATAAGCAGTTAGGAAAGGCTCCTCATTCACCATTTTGTTTTTGTGCTTGACCAGCTGATTATCCATCTAATGAAAGACAACACTTAAAATATTACTGGGTCTATATGAAGTTCTAGGAAAAAATTAATTCATGATGATAGAATCAGAATAGTTGTCTCTGGAAGAGTGAAGACAAGAATTATTTAGGCTTGATTCTGAATGATGTATACTTTTTGAAACTTAGTCAATGTACACTAGAAGTTTTCGTCATTTTGTTGAGTTTTAAATCTCATAGCCAAAGAAAAAGCAAATCCATACAATGGCCCATTATTCAACTCTGAAAAGGAAGGAAATCCTGCTACCTGTTACAACACAGATGAAATTTGAAGACAAGGTACTAAGTGAAGTCATCTGGTCACAAACACTGTTGAATTCACAGAAACAGAAAATAAAAGAGCATCTCTACTCCAGGGCACGTTCCCAGTAGAAATGAATGCTGAGTTCACTTAGGAAGTATTTGAGGATGTCCATAGCAATGCTAGATAAATAATCCCAAGCTGCTAACAAGCCACATATATATTAACAATAGAAAGGATACATAAACTGATGTATTTATAAACTAAATCCCACATGGTAGTGAAAACCACTAACCACTGCTACAAATATTAACATGGTGGATTTTACAGACCTAAAATCAAACAAAAGAAGCTAGACACAAAAGAGCACATAATGTGTGGTTCCCCTTACCCAGAGTTCAGGGACAAGCAAAAAAAAAAAAAAAAAAAAAAAAAAAAAAAAAATATATATATATATATATATATATATATATATATAGAGAGAGAGAGAGAGAGAGAGGGAGGGAGACAGAGACAGAGACAGAGATATGAAACTAATCTCTGGAGACAGAAAATGAAGCAGTTATATTTGAGTAGAAAAACTTGCCTTTATGTTCCTCTTACCAACTCCCTGGAACCTGCTCCAAATAAACGGGCAGCAGAGCTTTGTAATCTACCTTTCTTCTTAATGTAGAAAGGAGAGGAAAATGCAAGTAGGGCCATGAATATTAACTGAAAATAAAAAATAATAGCATCTACTACTTAAAATCATTTTAGTTGTCATCAAAGTTATAAACAGCTCCTGATTTATCCTATTTATCTGGAAATTTATTTCTTTAGCTTCATCTTTAAAAACTACTTTTGCTTAATATAAATTTCTTGTTGGCAGCTATGTTTGTCGGACACCTGGACTGTATCTCTCGTCGGCCACTGTTTCTGTAGGATTTCAGCTGTTTTGTTGCTGGAATTCTCTTGTCAGTCATGAGCTGTGCTTACCTGGCTGTTTTCTAGATTTTACCTTTGTCTTTCGGGGTCTTGGTGTGATGTTCCTGTGTGTGTATCTCTTTGTGTTTATCTTATCACGTGTCCATTCACTTGGCTGGGTTTGCTAAGTCTAAAACATTAACTATGAAACAGCTGTTTGTCATCATGCTTAGAAAGTCCTCAGCCACGAGTTTTAAGGTATTTGCTTCTGCTCTTTTCTCTCTCCTGCCGTTCACGTACAGGTATGGGGCGTCCTGCAGGGGCCCCACATCCTCAAGGCTCTTTTCACTTTTCTTCTTTGTTTTTGCCACTCTCCAGAGTTGCACAATCTTCTTCAGTTCATAGACTTTCTCTTCTGCCAGTTCAGATCTACCGCTGAGCCCCTTGCCAAATTATCATTTCAATTATTTTACTTTTTGCAATGTTAAAAGCTATTTAAGATTAATTATTCCACTTTCACAATCTATATAAATTCCACCGTATTCTCAGACATCTTCTGAGATCCAAGTAACTGTGAAGTTTTAGAGCATCGATTTAAATCACAATAGTGAGGCTGGGGTATAGCTCAGTGACATGGTGCCTGCCTGGCAAGTGCAAGGTCCTGTGTTCAATTCCCAGTGGTGAACTAAAATAAATAAATCACAATAACAAAATAATTGACTGAACCTTAGAGTAACTGAATTAGTAAAAAATTATTTATCAATCATTTTATTATTTTTGAAAGTTATCATATCAATTCAGTATTGAACATTAACTTAAATTTAATTTTTATACATTAATTTATACTTTATATGTTATACAATATATTACATAAATGTTATATAATATAGTCATGATTTTATTATATATAAATATGTGACCCATTGTATAATTACTAACTTATCTTAATTAGTATTATAATAATATTACTATTAGTTACCATTAAGATGTAATAAATAGGCTACAGATTTTTAGGCAACTTCTTATCAGATTAAATCCCAAAAGTAGAAAACATAAAAACAAGCCTAATTTTAATAGATATATACTTGATTCTTGCTTTTATTCTGTAGAGAGTTAAAAATCAACAGATTTAAAAGTGATGCACAAACTATACACGATGGTACACACCTGTAATCCCTGCTACTCAGGTGACAGATCAAAAATTTGAGCCCAACCTGGGCATTTTCACAATACCATGTGTCAAAAAATTAGAAATGTCAGAGAATGTAGCTCAGTGCAAAGGCCTGGGGTTCAGTCCCCAGCACCACAGAAAAATAGAAGTGCACGGATGCCTTGGCCAACATGAGTGTATGTTCCTTGCTGTATTCATCGCGGTGTGAATATGTAATGTGTGCTCGAGGCACACAGCCAGGGTCCCTGTGGAGCTCTGTCTGGTGGTCTGTGTGTCACAGTGTAGCAACACACTTCCTAGTTTTCTGTGTCTCCAAGAGAAAGGAAACTGGTTTCTTTGCTCAAAAATTGTAATGAAATGGGAACTAAAGGAGCAGTTACAAAGAGATACAAATATGTAAGATAAGGGATATATTTGGTCAGTGTTAAGGAAATCGTTGTAAGTTAAAACTGCTGTATACCTTGTTCAACATGATATAGTAGTAAGTAAAGTTTTACAGTTAGGTTGAAAACTATTTACCATGTTATTTGTATGTTTAAACATATACATACACAGACATATGGATTAGTATTTATGAATAGTACAAAATTTATGAATGATAAAGCTTATTCAAAAAATGGCTGATCTTTGAATATCTGTTTCTGTGCTTTCATCATGATTTGTTTTGTTTTGTTTTTTGTTTATTGAGACAAGTTCTTACTGTGTAGCCCAGGCTGGCTTCGAATTCACTGTGTAGCCCAGGCTGGCCTCAAACTCACAGCGATCCTCCTGCGTCTGCCTCCAAAGTGCACCACAATGCCCCACTCATCATGTTTTTGGATCATTTTTACACACAAAAAAACCCTTCATTTCTAAGATGCTAGGATTTCTAAAAATTACTGTTAGTTGTTAATGTTTTAAGTATTGTCCATCTGACAAAGGCTATAATAATTTTCTTCTCTTTAGACACCTCTTATTTATAAGGTTTATCTTTATGCATGCTTGCATTTTATCTGGTAATACTACATTATTTTCACATTCCCCATAGTCAAGCTTTGAATGCAATACTGTTAATATATCTTCGCAATCTTGACCCTGTATAGAGAGGCTACTTACTGGATAGTATCAATGTTTGCTCCATTTATTTTCGTGGAAAGATGCTAGAGCTACATCAACATAATTGTTTATTCCATCTTTCTTTTTCATATAGCTTAATCACTATAAAAACACCTAAAGCCCAGGCTCCAGTGTCTCTCACTTGGGAGCCAGATGTTAAACAGCCTTTTCCTTTCCTAAGCAGACATTACAACAACTCCAGACTATGATCATGCTGAGGCAGGAGATGTGGCCAGCGACTGGGCAAGTGGGTGGGACATATGTGCCCAAGCCCTGCACTTGGGACCAATCAGAGAATGCTATCTTCAATTCTCCAGGGGTGAAGTCAAGCAGGTTTTAATAGGATGATGTAGATCTAGCATCAGCCTGAGGCATGTTCCCACAAAAGACAGTGGTTGTTAGGTTAAAAACTGATGGTTAACAACACCATCTGAATTAAATCAGCATGGTGCTGAGTGTAGATGTTCCACCTGAGGAAAGTTACCAGCATAAATAGAGACGTGGAGAAGGAAAAGAGAGGCATTGTGGGTTTCTCTAAGTGTTGCTGTTTGAGCCGTTGGTTCTCCTGGAGAATCTCTGGTCTTACATCAAGCATTGCTTCCTGGCTCCGGAGGGGAAGATGTATGCTGCTTCATCGCTAGGAGGAACTCCTCATGCTGGCTTTTTGGCATGTCTTCGACTTTTCTTATCATTGGAGGAGCACAGGACCTCCGTGTCGCTGAGGATGGCTGTGGTACTTGTCAGGACAGCCCTGGTTATTACGAGTGTGACTTCTTGGCTCCAGCATAGAATCCTCAGCCTACTAGCACAGCTCCTTCACCCTGCTGGCATAGGCTTACTAGCTTCCACCGCTGACTTTTGGGCCTTCCCAGCACAGATCTGTAAAACAGACAGATGTGAGTACCTTCATGTTGGCTCTAGACTCCCAGGTGGACTTGTGCGAGGCATTGTCATGGGCTCTAGGTTTTCATCTGGACTCATGCAAGACATTGCTGTGGGATACAGGCCCTTGGCTGAATATTCCGGGACTTTAGTGTTATGGATAGATTTCCTATGTTAACTTTGGGTGACCATCACAAATAATATTATAAATTCTGTGTCCTGATTCCAATTGTTCTCCTCTCAACCCCTGACTTAACAGTGGTCCTTGACCTCTTGGCCATTGTAAGCTCTTTCAGTGGCCCACTCTCACCCTGAACTGTGTGCTTTAATTGGCCCACACTAACTCTGCAGAGCACATTTCTTTCCTATCTTTAATAAATGTAAAACCTCACTCCCTTTCCTCTTATTTTTTCCAATGCTTTGTTCAGTACAAGAACGTTGAAAAAGATCTCTGGAAGGAGTTCACAGCACTCAAGAACCTGACAGTAATGCCATAATCTTCACATTGTGTGGGAAGGACAAGTTGTGATTGAGGACAACTTGTGCTGAGGCAAAAGTTGAAAACTGATCACAAGCTTGTGGCCTGCCTGGATAGGTTGTTTGTGAAGCGGAGGCAGTCGTCCTTGTGGTCCTTGTCGCTGTGTGTGTCAGCAGGGTTCCGCTGCTCTCTGCCCTTGGCCTACTTAAACTTTTTTGCTTCCAAATAACACCTAATGGAAATCTGCTTTGTATCTGCGATCCACTTTCATTGCTTCTCACGTAACTGCCAAGCACTATCCCAAACTAAGTCTAATATACTTTCCTGGTTCTTATTTTTAAAATAATCCAGGTATATCCTATACTGTATAAGCTGTACCTTCTGAACTGTTCTTATCAGGAGCACATACCTACTAAAATTTAAGAATTCACCACTACTTATTAATATCAGATATGCCTCTGAGTTCAAGGTTTGGCATGTTACGTAGGTAAAGGGGTTGTCTAATTTCTGTGGATGCTTTAATAATAAATGGACAACGAAGTAATGAGTTGTTAAAGATGAGATCACATCTGAAGGAAGCAATATCATTTTAAAAATTGAGCATTGATATGAGCTCAGCTGTTCTCATGGTCAGAGGAGACCACGAGAACAAAAATCGTACTTTTGGAATTAAAGAAAATATCCCAGCCATCTGCTATGCAAAACAAACAGCCATCACTGATATTCCAATGATTTTTAATTGTAAGTTATTCGATATGATTTCACCAATCCAGAAAGACCCATTCAAATACAATCATCTGTCCCTGAAGAAGAGAAAAGATGGTGAGTTATAAAAACTCTGAGCTTGGGTGGTTCACTTTCCAAAACGGCCACTTGGTGGCTCCTCAGTACTTCTCTAGGCCTTTATTACCATTGTTACCTGGAAGCATCTAAGATGCCAAGGGAGGACTGCTTCATAATATAAAAATATGGATGAGAAAAACCTTGCCACAGGCTCAACAGATTATTAAAACTTCCCTTACTTCTAATTATCAAAATCCAAGGGAAATTATAAGGTAGGACAAATTTCAGAACCTCATTTTGAGAACCATTTACAAATAGACTAATATTGCCCAAATAACAAAAGTTTTCAATATATTTCAATAATAACCTGCACTTTGGTTTGGACAAAAGTTGTATTATTCAGTGACTTTCCTAGCATATGTGACCCTAGGTTCTATCCCCAGAACTACAAAAAAAAAATTTAATAAAAAATTCTTCACTGAAAAGATGATGCTTACTTTGGAATTTTTCCACTTGGATAGAAAAAGAACTTTTTAAGTACCACACTTCAGATATGATATAGTCTTCAAATGAATAAAAAATCTCATTGTCTAAGTACCCCTAAAGTTCTAGAGAGTGAAACAATATTTTAATTAAAATATCATCAACATCAAAACTGTCTAGGGACTGGACATGTACCTTAGTGACAAAATTATTGCTTTGCATGTGTAGATCTTGGTCTCAATCCTCAGCACCACATAAACAAAAGAAAACCAAAACTGACCAGGTGTTTAGAAGAGTTTAACTTTCCTAGGTGTAAAGTTCTACCTTTCCCCCTAACAATAAAGTGATGTACACCATAAAACATAAACTCTCATAGATCCATGAGACTAAGATTAACTCCTTTTTCAACAGACTTTACCTTGTTACATTCTAATATTATCAGTTGCTGTCAAAATTAATAGCATGTACATAATTACATGCTCAACAGACGCACACTACCCTTTGAAAGAGACATCAACATACTTCTATATGATATAAAGTCAGAAAAATGAATATGATGACAAAGAATCAAAAACATCCAACAAACGATCACATCATATACTTCTTTTGTGTGTTGGAGCATTGAATAGAACCCAGAGCAAGCGCTGTACCACTGAGCTATATTCTCAGCCCTTAATTGACCTTAAATTCTTGGCCCTAGATTCTTGGATATAAACTCATGAGTTCATGACTCCCAGAATAAAGGTATGAAAGATTCCATAATCTGGACATCCAGTTTCTCTAGAGGTACATAATCCTGTGGAGTAATAAAAATTTATGAATCAAGAAGGTAACTTGTGCCATGTTATCTTATCTTTAAAAGATAACTCCAGTAATTACTGAATTTCCCCTTTAATTTTAGTTATTTGAGAAGCTGAGCCAAAAAGATTGCAAATTTGAGGCCAGACTGGGCAACTTAGCAAGATTTTGTCCTGTTGTAGTCAGGGTTTGCAAGGGAATAGATTTAACACAAGACACATAATTTATAGGATTATTTTATAATATTCACCCAAAAAAGTCAAATGCAGAAGAATATAAGAGATCTGTCCACACACTAGAGACCCAAAGAAATCTAGCTGCAGGTGTGGATCCCATGGCAATATCTTGCACAAGTCCAGCTGGGGGTCTAGAGCCCACGACAATGTGTCATGCAAGTGTGTTTCAAGGATCTACACTGGGAAGGCCCAACGGTCAATGGTGGAAGCTAGAAAGTCTGCAGCAGTGGGATGAAGAATCTGTGTCTGTAGGCTGAAGGATCTGAACTGGGGCCAGAAAGCAACACTCAAGGTAAGGACCAGAGCTTCCCCAAAGAGAACTGCAGCCATCCTCTGCAACAGGGAAGACCCAAACTCCTCTGACCATGAGAACAGCTGAGTTCATATCAGGAAAGCCAGCATGACAAGCTTCTCCAGGAGAATCAGCAGCACCATCTTCCTCTCCAGTTCTTTTTTTTATGTTGTGGGCAACAATCCTCCAGTGGGCCATCCACACCCAGCATCATGCTGATTCAGTTCAGCTGATGATACAAATTGACCATTAGTTAATCCACCACATGTCCCAAAGTACAGTTTTTTAATAGGGATGGATATGTGGCTGGGGGTGGAACACTTGCCCAGCTTATGCAAGCCCCTGGGTTCAGTCTCCACATGCAGGAAAGAAGAAGAGAAGGAGGAGAAAGAGGAGGAGGAATAGGAAAAAGTAAATCATGAGGTGTAAATGCTTTCTACCCAAGATTTTTATATTGAGTCATGATTAGAGCTTACATTTTATTATGAGTCTTTTTTTATTATTTGCAAGCTTCCTTTTGTGTAGGTCAAGGTATTAGATCATGAAAGGACTGCCCTGGTCCTTTGTGCCCTTCTGTCAGCTGACTTCTTTCCTACATCCTTTCTGACCTCCACAATTTGCCTACCTCAATCCCTTGCCGTAGCTGCCAGTTTCTCCAGCTGACAGATTTACCATTATCTTCAGACCCTTCAGTAAGACCTCCTAATGTGTCTCTCTATCTCCACTGAATTGTAGAAGAATGAAGGAATGCCAGGAATAAAAAGACACATCAGATCTAACAGGAACTGAATGTAATACAGGTTCCAAATGCCCTCACACTTCTAGAACACCTCCATTCCCTAAAACTAGCTGCTTACACTTTCTTTTGGGCTCCTATCTCAAGTCACCATCCAGTCGACAGCAATGTATCAAGATGACACTAAATGGTCAACCTGCATCCTCTGGGATCTGAGTTTGGCCACAAAAAAGAAAGTAATAAATTACAAGATAAATAAGAACTACTTTAACCATGATATAACTACCAAAGAAAGTACATCAACAGCCAATACTAAAGATGAACATATGGCCTACCTGCCACATAGCAGAAATCACAAGATTTCTTGGAAAAATAATGCACAACTGAAATTGCCTTCCCTGATAATAATACAATAGGCTTGGTTCTAAACTGCCTTCTTGATTGTCTTCAGCCCAGGTAGGAAGGGACTCACACCTTGCCAGTGGCATGTGAGTAAGCCAGTTTGGAAGCTGAGCCTCCGGCTTTCAGGTGACAGCAGTGTGATCTGGTATGTTAGCTGTGACCTCATGAAAGATTGACCCAGAGGCACCCAACTTAGTGACTTCCAAATTCCTGACTCATGGGAACTGTGGGGGAATAAATATTTGTTCTTTCAAGCTTCTGAACTTTGAACTAATTTGTTACGCAGCAACAGATAACTAATATACCTTGTTTCTCTGAGAGGGAAGGGAATCAGAGTAATGGGAGAAGTACAATATAGGGAAGAAAGAATGGAGAATGCCTAATGAACTCTACTTTATCTGTAAAATTAAATATGAGTTATTTTATCTGCCAACAGTAAGGTGACTTAATGAGACTGGCAAGAGACTGACACAGCCATGCAGAAAACAGGAGAGGAAATTGACAAGGAGCACGGAGAAGATTCATAAGTTTTCTTGGAGCCTACCTTCCTTTATGCCAAAACCAACCACAAAAATCATAGTTGGTAATGGAATGCAATCAGGCTCTGTGTAATGAGCCTCAGTTCCAGATGTGGAACTCTAGTTACAGTGTCCTGCTCTGCCAGCCCAGAATCTGCCTGTGTAGACAAACTGCTGATGAGCGGGTTAGTGGCTGAGGAGGGCTCAGACATGTCCTGAAAAAGTACTCCTGTGGCCAAGAAGGACTTGCAACACCCAGATAGAGCCTCAC